AACCTGAGCAGTGAGCTCTCCTATGTCCTTCAACCCACTCACCATCAGCAGCAGCATGTTCCCACACCCTACAGGGGCAGCGGGGAACCCTCGCCCTACAGGGGCAGCGGGGAACCCTCGCCCTACAGGGGCAGCAACAGCAGCGCGCGCCCTCACCCTACAGGGGCAGCAACAGCAGCGCGTGCCCTCAGCCTGCCGCAGCATGTCCCCTCAGCCTGCCGCAGCAGAACTCTCCCAAGTCATCCAGTAACAGCAGTGCTGAGCACAGTATTCCCATTCTCCTACACACACACAGAGAACACAATTCACAGTAAACACCCAGAGGCTCAGTACTCACTGTCGTGTGCGACCAATAGGAATAGTCGAAGGTGAAGTTCTTTGGAGCATCTTTGGGCTGTTTTGGGTTTGAAATACCTATAAAGGAGAAGGATGAAGTCTCAGTGATATCACCAGTAATTCATGTGATCTACCTGATACAAGAAGATCTGTGCCAGGAACCCGAAAGAGCGGGTCTATCACCACCATGGAGTTCACTCTAAGCAGCTGGGATTGGTCTCTGTTGGAAGCAATAGAACAACCTGGGCTCACTGCTTGGTGCCTGGGATTCGGTCATCATGGTTTAAAGTGGTTTTATTGGGGCGGCATAAAGGTCATCACTGCACACCCGCAGAACTGAGGCCCTTTACTGCTCTGTTGCATGGAACTCCTACATACTACCATGTCTGTTTCATTGAAACTGTCCCAGAGTCTTTCCACAGAAATAATACATACTGGTGGGTTAAAAACTGCATGTCTGTGACTGTGGGGGGACATTAGAGTGTAAGCTCCTCTGATTCAGTGGCTGACGTGACTGGTTTAATAGCTCATTGTTAGCACAGTAGCTAAAAGGTTAGCACTTCCGCCTGGCAGTACTCGGGTCGTCACTTCAAATCCCAACCACTGCACTACCTGCCTGGAGTTTGCATGTTCTCCCTGTGTGGGTTTCCTCCAGGTACTCTGATTTCCTCCCACACTCCAAAGACATGCTGGTAGGTTAATTGGCTCCTGTCTAAACTTTGCCCTAGTATGTGAATGGGAGTTAGAGACCTTAGATTGTACGCCCCTTGAGGGTTAGAGACTGGATGTGAATGTACAATATATATATATCACACACAGTATCTCCCAGAAGTGAGTCCACCCCTCACATTTGTGTAAATATTTGATTCTCTCTTTCCATGTGACAACACTGAAGAAATGACACTTTGCTACAATGTGACGTAGTCAGTGTACAGCTTGTATAACATGTAACTTTGCTGTCCCCTCAAAATAACTCAACACACCGTCATTAATGTCTAAACTGCTGGCAACAAAAGTGAGTCCACCCCTAAGTGACAAGGTCCAAATTGGGCCCAAAGTGTCAATATTTTGTGTGGTCACCATTATTTTCCAGCACTGCCTTAACCCTCTTGGACATGGAGGTCACCAGAGCTTCACAGGTTGCCACTGGAATCCTCTTCCACTCCTCCATGATGACATCATGGAGCTGGTGGATGTTAGAGACCTTGCGCTCCTCCACCTTCTGTTTGAGGATGCCCCACAGATGCTCAATAGGGTTTAGGTCTGGAGACATGCTTGGCCAGTCCATCACCTTTACCCTCAGCTTCTTTAGCAAGGTAGTGGTGGTCTTGGAGGTGTGTTTGGGGTCGTTATGTTGGAATACTGCCCTGTTGTCCAGTCTCCGAAGGGAGAGGATACTGCTCTGCTTCAGTATGTCACAGTACATGTTGGCATTCATGGTTCCCTCAATGAACTGTAGCTCCCCAGTGCCGGCAGCACTCATGCAGCCCCAGACCATGACACTTCCACCACCATGCTTGACTGTAGGCAAGACACACTTGTCTTTGTACTCCTCACCTGGTTGCCGTCACACGCTTGACACCATCTGAACCAAATCAGTTGATCTTGGTGTCATCAGACCACAGGAGACGGTTCCAGTAATCCATGTCCTTAGTCTGCTTGTCTTCAGCAAACTGTTTGTGGGCTTTCTTGTGCATCATCTTTAGAAGAGGCTTCCTTCTGGGAGGACAGCCATGCAGACCAATGTGATGCAGTGTGCAGCGTATGGTCTGAGCACTGACAGGCTGACCCCCCCACCCCTTCACCCCTTCAACCTCTGCAGCAATGCTGGCAGCACTCATACGTCTATTTCCCAAAGACAACCTCTGGATATGATGCCGAGCACACGCACTCAACTTCTTTGGTGGACCATGGTGAGGCCTGTTCTGAGTGGAACCTGTCCTGTTACACCGCTGTATGGTCTTGGCAATCATGCTGCAGCTCAGTTTCAGGGTCTTGGCAATCTTCTTATAGCCTAGGCCATCTTTAGGTAGAGCAACAATTCTTTTTTTCCAGATCCTCAGAGAATTCTTTGCCATGAGGTGCCATGTTGAACTTCCAGTGACCAGTATGAGAGTGAGAGCGATAACACCAAATGTAACCCCCCCCCCCCCCCCCCCCCCCCCCGCTCCCCGTTCACACCTGAGACCTTGTAACACCAATGAATCACATGACATCGGGGAGGGAAAATGGCTAATTGGGCCCAATTTGGACCTTGTCACTTAGGGGTAGGCTCACTTTTGTTGCCAGCGTTTTAGACATTAATGGCGGTGTGTTGAGTCATTTTGAGGGGACAGCAAATTTACATGTTATACAAACTGTACACTGACTACGTCACATTGTAGCAAAGTGTCATTTCTTCAGTGTTGTCACATGAAAAGAGAGAATACAATATTTACAACAATGTGAGGGGGGGATTCACTTCTGGGAGATACTGTATATATGTAAAGCACTGCGTAAACTGACGGCACTAAGTAAGTACCTGTAATAAATAAATAATTCTTAGGTTCCAGTCACCCTAAGTTAAGGAGTCTTTTTATAAAAAATGCACATGTGCATACCTCATGCAATTGCACAGCCATTATGAATAATCTTAGTAACCTATTTCCTACAATCGTCAGCTCCATCTAGTGGCTATAAATGTGGTAATTTTCCTGATTGAGGTGTTCAAAAAATACCATATTATGACCACTAGATGGAGTTGATTATCATAGGAAATAAAAACATGCTGGAAACATTATGGGGATCACAACAGCTGGGTGAACGCTGACACATTTGCACAGCGAAATTAATATAAATAGAGACCACAAAGAGCTTGAACCTTGTGAGCTGGAATAGTAACATTTTGACTGGCTCCCCTCCTCCACCCCAAACCCATAATGCTTCATAGGAGAGATCCACCTGGTCAAATTTTTTCCTAAACCACATGATCAGATTGTATGATAACGATGATCATCCTTACAGGTAGTCGTGCCTTGCATCTGGATGACGCATTTGGAATCGTGTGCAATCTCCCGGGAGTTGAAGGGCCGTACGCGGACAGCGACTTTCACTGAAGCACCCGCCATCTTTACATTCGATCCAAAACGTCAGACCTACAAGAAACAGAAAAGAGGGCTAAAGGTTTTACAACTCAACAGTATACTAGAAATACATATACATACATATATATATATATATATATATATATATATATATATATATATATATATATATATATATACAACATATATATACATACACACACACACACACACACACACATACATACACACACACACTATAAAATCATTTAAAAAATGTACAAATATAATAATTGTTTTATAATAGTAATACAAAAAGTATTATATTTATTTATATATACACACTGCTCAAAAAAATGAAAGGAACACTTTTAATCTAGCATCAAGTCAATCACACTCCTCGGATATTGATCTGGTCAGGTAAGTAGCAGAGGGGTTGTTAATCAGTTTCAGCTGCTTTGGGGTTAATAAAATTAACAACAGGTGCACTACATGGGCAACAATGAGACGACCCCCAAAACAGGAATGGTTTTACAGGTGGAGGCCACTGACTTTTTTTCCCTACTCATCTTTTCTGACTGTTTGTAACTAGTTTTGCATTTGGCTAAGGTCGGTGTCACTACTGGTAGCATGAGGACATACCTGGGACCCTACAGAGGTTGCACAGGCAGTCCAACTCCTCCAGGATGGCACATCAATACGTACCATTGCCAGAAGGTTTGCTGTGTCTCCCAGCACAATCTCAAGAGCATGGAGGAGATTCCAGGAGACAGGCAGTTCCTCTAGGAGAGCTGGACAGGGCCATAGAAGGTCCTTAACCCATCAGCAGGACCGGTATCTGCTCCTTTGTACAAGGAGGAACAGGATGAGCACTGCCAGAGCCCTACAAAATGACCTCCAGCAGGCCACTGGTGTGAATGTCTCTGACCAAACAATCAGAAACAGACTTCATGAGGGTGGCCTGAGGGCCCGACGTCCTCTAGTGGGCCCCGTGCTCACTGTCCGGCACCATAGAGCTCAACTGGCATTTGCCATTGAACACCAACATTGGCAGGTCCACCACTGGCACCCTGTGCTTTTCACAGATGACAGCAGGTTCCCCCTGAGCACATGTGACAGACGTGAAAGGGTCTGGAGAAGCCGTGGGAGAACGTTCTGCTGCCTGTAACATGGTTCAGTATGACCGTTGTGGTGGTGGGTCAGTGATGGTCTGGGGAGGCATATCCATGGAGGGACGCACACACCTCTACAGGCTAGACAATGGCACCCTGACTGCCATTAGGTATCGGGATGGAATCCTTGGACCCATTGTCAGACCCTACACTGGTGCAGTGGGTCCTGGGTTCCTCCTGGTGCGGCGGGTCCTGGGTTCCTCCTGGTGCGGCGGGTCCTGGGTTCCTCCTGGTGCGGTGGGTCCTGGGTTCCTCCTGGTGCACAACAATGCCCGGCCTCATGTGGGGAGTATGAAGTCAGTTCCTGGAGGATGAAGGAATTGATACCATTGAATGGCCCCCACGCTCGCCTGCCCTAAATAAAAATAGAACCCCCCCTGGGATGTCATGTTTCGGTCCATCTGACGCCACCAGGTTTCACCTCAGACTGTCCAGGAGCTCAGTGATGCCCTGGTCCAGATCTGGGAGGAAATCCCCCAGGACACCATCCGTCGTCTCATTAGGAGCCTCCCCCAACATTGTCAGGCATGCATACAAGCACGTGGGGGCCACACAAACTACTGAGGACCATTCTGAGTTGCTGCACTGAGATTTCAGCCAAATGGACTCGCCTGCTGCATCATTTCTTCTCTTTGATTTTTGGGGTGTCTCTGAATTCAGTCCTCTGTAGGTTGATCATTTTCATCCAATGATGGGGCCTCCTTACACTCCTCACCCATCCCCCGTCCATGTCAGTACAGAGATCCAGCAGGAGATCCCTCCCCATTGAGATCTGATGGGTTGTCAGAGTGTTCCTCTCATTTCTCTGAGCCGTGTATTATAGGACCCGTCCTTTATATGATCTGGTCGGTCTCCTGTGATGGGAGAATCGTGTTGTACATTGGATTCCTATACTGAGAGTGGAGTGATGAGGTGTCGGTGCTCAGGCTGGTTCTCACCCTCGTCGGCAGGAAGTTCTATTGTTTTTCAGGGCGGGTGGGTGACTCTCTAATTTTTTTATCATTAGTAAGCCGGGTCACTCCCGTCAGGATTGCTGAGATAAGCTCCTCCATGCAGCAATTACATGACATCAGATCAGATCCCGAGCCGTCTGCTAGAACTCAGTAATCAGCACCCTGGAGCTCGTGAATGATCTGACAGATGGATGGAACTGCACTGTGTGTAATGGCAGGTTTGTCATCCAACACCTTCCACGATGGGGTGGAAGTCCAATCATTCCATGGAACTATTTGTGTCTTCCAAATGGTAAATGGTGTGTTTGCGGTGATATTTCCCGCACATTATTGGTGTCAGTGGGAGGAGGAGTACCCCATCATTGGTGTCAGTGTGGGAGAAATAGTGCCCCATCATTGGTATCAGTGGGAGGAATAGTGCCCCATCATTGGTATCAGTGGGAGGGAATAGTGCCCCATCATTGGTGTCAGTGGGAGGAATAGTGCCCCATCATTGGTGTCAGTGGGAGGAATAGTGCCCCATCATTGGTGTCAGTGGGAGGAATAGTGCCCCATCATTGGTGTCAGTGGGAGGAATAGTGCCCCATCATTGGTATCAGTGGGAGGAATAGTACCCCATCATTGGTGTCAGTGGGAGGAATAGTACCCCATCATTGGTGTCAGTGGGAGGAATAGTGCCCCATCATTGGTGTCAGTGGGAGGAATAGTGCCCCATCATTGGTATCAGTGGGAGGAATAGTGCCCCATCATTGGTGTCAGTGGGAGGAATAGTACCCCATCATTGGTGTCAGTGGGAGGAAATAGTGCCCCATCATTGGTGTCAGTGGGAGGAATAGTGCCCCATCATTGGTATCAGTGGGAGGAATAGTGCCCCATCATTGGTGTCAGTGGGAGGAATAAGTGCCCCATCATTGGTGTCAGTGGGAGGAATAGTGCCCCATCATTGGTGTCAGTGGGAGGAATAGTGCCCCATCATTGGTGTCAGTGGGAGGAATAGTGCCCCATCATTGGTGTCAGTGGGAGGAATAGTGCCCCATCATTGGTATCAGTGGGAGGAATAGTACCCCATCATTGGTGTCAGTGGGAGGAATAGTGCCCCATCATTGGTGTCAGTGGGAGGAATAGTGCCCCATCATTGGTATCAGTGGGAGGAATAGTGCCCCATCATTGGTGTCAGTGGGAGGAATAGTGCCCCATCATTGGTGTCAGTGGGAGGAATAGTGCCTCGTCATTGGTGTCAGTGGGAGGAATAGTGCCCCATCATTGGTGTCAGTGGGAGGAATAGTGCCCCATCATTGGTGTCAGTGGGAGGAATAGTACCCCATCATTGGTGTCAGTGGGAGGAATAGTGCCCCATCATTGGTATCAGTGGGAGGAATAGTGCCCCATCATTGGTGTCAGTGGGAGGAATAGTGCCCCATCATTGGTATCAGTGGGAGGAATAGTGCCGCATCATTGGTGTCAGTCGGAGGAATAGTGCCCCATCATTGGTGTCAGTGGGAGGAATAGTGCCCCATCATTGGTGTCAGTGGGAGGAATAGTGCCCCATCATTGGTATCAGTGGGAGGAATAGTGCCCCATCATTGGTATCAGTGGGAGGAATAGTGCCCCATCATTGGTGTCAGTGGGAGGAATAGTGCCCCATCATTGGTGTCAGTGGGAGGAATAGTGCCCTAAGCGTTATATAAATGCAAGCAGAGGGCCGCAGTTTGGAGACCACTAATCTATAGCCATGAAAAGAATCCATCAAGTATATTCCACAACAGGTGCCACCACCTAAGAAGGTAACAAAAGCTGTGCTACTGATGCTTCCCCATCACCCACTCTGGCTTCCTTCTAACCGGTGGCAATGAAACACAACCGTGGCAGTGGGACAAGCGGTCTGTTCAAACCCAGCAGTCCAATCAGCAGCTGCAATTGAACCATCCTGTAGTGGGGGAGGGGGGGGGGTCCAGATGTCACAGCAGCTGCAGTGGCTTGCTAGGAGGAGCCTGGGGCTACGTCCTGATGGGTAAACTGATGCCAGATCAGAGATGACGCAATCATGTAAATGCTGGTACCCGTGCCATTCTTAGTTGTGTTGACAAATGTCTGACACAGACCAGCCCCCTGCTGCAGCTCTTACCTTGTGACTGGCTATAAAGTTCCAATGCTGAAGTCTGATCGCTGGGGGAGGGGAGACCGAGGAAAATGCTTCCTGCAGCACACCAACGATATCATCTAAGCCAGGGATGGGCCACTGCGACCCTCCAGCTGTTGTAGAACTACAAGTCCCATGAGGCATTGCAAAACTGACAGTTACAAGCATGGCTCCCAAAAGCAGAGGCATGATGGGACTTGTAGTTCACCAACATCTGGAGGGCCAGTTGCCCACCCCTGATCTAAGCCTAGGCAAAGTCACTGAATGGCGTGTGTGTGTCTCGGTGCATTTCATTGGTCAGTGACAGCTCACAGTCAACTACTGACAATAGGGACCCGGCCGGCGCGTCTCCCAATGACATCACTACTGCACAGCCAATCACACTGCGGCAGGATCAGGGGCCACACGAACCCACTCTGGGCATCATGGCCCAGCGTACAAAGGGTAAGGGGGGAGGAGCTTCTCTGATGACATCACTGATGAATACTTTTTACAAAGTATCAGGAATTCATTCATGGAACTTTGGACCCGTTCACATTTTAAAATGCATTTTTTTTTATTGTGCCTTGAAAATAATGGACTTCCAATGCCCCCCGAAATGTGCGGAAATATCAGCCAGGCCCCATTGTTGGTAATGCAGTGCATTGGGGTGTATTGTAAAGGCGATGCGATGGGGGGGGGGGGGGCATTGATAACGAACGTGCTCATTGCCAGTGTGAATGGGCCGTGGAGGTTCCCAAGGTATGAGGAGAGTTAAACGTCAGCCCGGGAGGGGGGGGTAGTCTGGCCCGGACACCACCCTCACATCTTGCCTTAGCTCAGAAAAATCCCAGGAATGTTTCCTCCCCTCCACAATTCCAGGATGAGAAAGACGGACAATGAACAGAGCCAGAGAGACTGCAAACCGGCCTAGAGGTGATCCCCCCATCATGTACATCCAGTCCAGGGAGGGACACCTGCCAGAATATACACCGACCGACCGTCACCCACCATCATGTCTATCCGGTCCTGGGAGTGACACCCGCTGGAATATACACCACCGTCACCCACCATCATGTACATCCGGACCTGGGAGTGACACCCACCAGAATATACACCGACCGTCACTCACCATCATGTACATCCGGTCCTGGGAGTGACACCCGCCAGAATATACCCCGACCGTCACCCCCCATCATGTACATCCGGACCTGGGAGTGACACCCGCCAGAATATACACCGACCGTCACCCACCATCATGTACATCCAGACCTGGGAGTGACACCTGCCACAATATACCCCGACCGTCACCCACCATCATGTACATCCGTTCCTGGGAGTGACACCCGCCAGAATATACCCCGACCGTCACCCACCATCATGTACATCCAGACCTGGGAGTGACACCCGCCAGAATATACCCCGACCGTCACCACCCACCATCATGTACATCCAGACCTGGGAGTGACACCCGCTAGAATACACACCGACCGTCACCCGCCATCATGTACATCCGGTCCTGGGAGTGACACCCGCCAGAATATACCCCGACCGTCACCCACCATCATGTACATCCAGACCTGGGAGTGACACCCGCTAGAATACACACCGACCGTCACCCGCCATCATGTACATCCGGTCCTGGGAGTGACACCCGCCGGAATATACACCAACGGTCACCCATCACCTTCTAATTCCCCCCCCAACCTCTGACCTGAGCTATAGATATAGACAGACATCCACTTGACCCCCCCAGGCCTTTTCTGGAATTTTTTTCGCAATACCAGCGGATTAATTAGTTTTCAATACATTTACACATTTTTTTGTAATCATGTCCCTGTACAGTATTTATGCCTTGAAAGTGCACTTTATAAAGAGTTTGGAACAGATAAAGAAAACATTTTTTTTTTTACTTTTATCTGACCTCCGGAATGGATTAATTGGTTTTCAATGCATTCCTGAAGTTTCACAATACGACAAATCCCGCAAAACGCATTACATTTTTCAACCAAGGTGCGTGTGTGTGTGTGTGTATATATATATATATATATATTATATATATATATATATATATACATATATATACACAGTTGCAAGAAAAAGTATGTGAACCCCTTGGGATTACGTGGAGTTTTGCATGAATTTGGCATAAAATGTGCTCTGAACGTCATCTAAGTCACAACAATAGAAGAACACAGTCTGCTGAACATAATACTACACAAACATTAGAGGTTGCCATGGTTTAATTGCACATAACATGTGTAAACATTCACAGTGCAGGGAGGAAAAAGTATATGAGGCCCTAGCTTAATGACTTCTCCCAGAGCTAATTGGAGCCAGGAGTGAGCCAACCTTGACTCCAATCAGTGTGATGATATTGGATGTGTTGCTGACAGTTGTCCTGCCCTTAAAAAACACACACCTGTTTTGGGTTTACTGGTTTCAAGAAGCACTGTCTGATGTGAACCATGCCTCGCAGAAAAGAGTTCTCAGAAGACCTACGTTCAAGAATTGTTGACTTGCATGAAGCTGGAAAGGGTTACATAAGTATCTCCAAAAGCCTTGATGTTCATGTGTCCACGGTAAGACAGACTGTCTACAAATGGAGAAAGTTTAGCACTGTTGCTACTCTCCCTAGGCCTGGTCGTCCTGTAAAAATGACTGCAAGAGCACAGCGCAGAATGCTGCATGAGGTAAAGAAGAATCCCAGAGTGTCAGCTAAAGACCTACAGAAATCTCTGGCACATGCTAACATTTTTGTTGACACATCTACAATAAGGAAAACATTAAACAAGAATGGAGTACATGGGAGGACACCACGGAGGAAGCCATTGCTGTCCAAAAAGAAGATTGCAGCACGTTTGAAGTTTGCAAAAGAGCACCTGGATGTTCCACAGCACTACTGGCAGAATATACTGCGGACAGATGAAACCAAGATTGAGTTGTTTGGGAAGAACACACAACACTATGTGTGGAGAAAAAAGGCACAGCACACCAACATCAAATCCTCATCCCCACTGTGAAACATGGCGGAGGGAGCATCATGGTTTGGGGCTGCTTTGCTGCCTCAGGGCTGGACGGATTGTTGTCATTGATGGGAAAATGAATTCCAGAGTTTATCAAGACATTTTGCAGGAAAACGTACGACCATCTGTCCGCCAACTGAAGCTCCGCAGAGGATGGGTGATGCAACAGGACAATGACCCAAAGCATACAAGTAATTCAACAAAACAATGGCTGCAACAGCACAGAATACGCCTTCTGGAGTGGCCCAGTCAGAGTCCTGACCTCAACCCGATTGAAATGCTGTGGCATGACCTTAAGAGAGCGATTCACACCAGACATCCCAAGAATATTGCTACACTGAAACAGTTTTGTGAAGAGGAGTGGTCCAAAATGACTCCAGATCGTTATGCAGGTCTGATCTGCAACTACAGGAAACGTTTGGTTGAGGTTATTGCTGCCAAAGGAGGGTCAACCAGTTATTAAGTCCAAAGGTTCACATACTTTTTCCTCCCTGCACTGTGAATGTTTACATGTTATGTGCAATTAAACCATGGCAACATCTAATGTTTGTGTAGTATTATGTTCAGCAGACTGTGTTCTTCTATTGTGACTTAGATGACGTTCAGAACACATTTTATGCCCAATTCATGCAAAACTCCACGTAATCCCAAGGGGTTCACATACTTTTTCTTGCAACTGTACATATACACACACACACATACACACATATACACACAAAGATATACACACACACACATTTGCACTCTGCCGGTGTCAGGCGACGCTCTCAGGGATGAACTTCCAGCAGTCATGTGACACCCGTGCGGGAGGCGAGTACTGAAGGTCAGAGTGCAATTAAAGTGCATGTCCCCTCCGCTCACACAGATATGTCAGTGACTGGTGGATGCTGCAGATGAAGGGCCCCATTCACACCAACACATTAGACAACACAGATGCATGGCGCAGTGATGCAACGCATGCTGCATTTTTAATAAGTTTTGCATTTTGTGTTTTCTCCTTTTTTGCAATTTCCTGGGGCAAAATGAACATGCAAAAAAAAAAAAGTACTTACCGGTATAACCCCTCCAATCACTGTGATTGGCTGTCATAGTGGTCACATGACCAGGAGCTCATCCCACCACCTCCTGATCACAGAGGCCGTGAGGAGTCTATGACAGCTCGGTGCTCTCAGCATGCTTTAAGCAGAGGAACCTCAGCCGCCATTGGTGCACTTGTGCGGTGTGCGCATTAAGGACCCGCCTCCCTGTCCCTGCACATACAGTATGCATTACATGGTCAGCAGAGGGTTAAAGTTTATGTCCAATCAAAACTGTTTATTTTTGTTATCACTTTAATTTGGATTAGAGCAATTAGGACTTAGAACTGCAGTCAGAATCTGGCCAATCGAATGAATGAACATCTAAGTGCTTGACATGCCTAAATGTCATGTAAATGTTTTTAATGCGTGCTTCTTCCGCCACGCGGGTCTCCCATCTCGTGTACCCCCCTTACCTTGTGCGACTGCCAGGAAGAAGGTGGGGATGGATGTGGAAAGCAAAAAGTTCAGGGTCTGGAGGAGGACCAGAGGAGGGCTGGTGCCTGCTGAATGCTGAGCCCAGGGGAGGTGGAGAAGAGGGGGTGCTGTGGCTGCACAGAGAGGTGCAGGATATGTAGGACAAGTTCTGTCCTCCTCTCTGCTGAGACAAGGTGGGCATGGAGATGAAGTGGGTGCCACAGCTGCAGGAGAGGTGTGAGGGCCTGTGGGTCTTGTTGAGAGTCCCCCACCCTCCCCTACGTCACAATGCACCCCCCTGCCAGGAAGAAGTTGGGATGGATGTGGAAAGCAGAAAGTTCAGGGTCTGGTGGAGTTTCAGAGGGCGGCTGGAGCCTGCTAAATGCTGAGCCCAAGGGAAGTGGAGCTGTGGCTGCACAGAGAGGTGCAGGATCTGTAGGAGGAGTTCGGTCATCCTCTCTGCTACCAACTGCTGAGACAAGACTAAGTGGGTGCTGCAGTTGCAGGACAAGTGTGAGGGTCAGTGAAATGGCCTGGGGGGCCAGACTCAGCCTGTGGGTCTTGTGTTTGACACACGTTCTGCGGTGGGTCTCCCGTCTCATGGGGCATGCTGCAGAACACGTGTCAAACACAAGACCCACAGGCTACGTCCGGCCCTCCAGGTCATTTCACGTGTCCCTCACACCTCTCCTGCGGCACCCACTTCATCTTCACGCCCACTTTATCTCAGCGTCTCAGCAGTCAGCAGCAGAGAGGATGACAGAACTCCTCCTACAGATCCTGCTACTCTCTGTGCAGCCACAGCACCCCCTCATCTCCACCTCTCCTGGGCTCAGCATTTAGCAGGCTCCAGCCCTCCTCTGGTCCTCCTCCAGACAGAGTACTTTCTGCTTTCCATATGCATCCCCAACTTCTTCCTGGCAGTAGCACAAGGGGGGGGGGGGTGCACTGTGATGTAGGGGAGGGTGGGGGACTCTTAACCTCTGATGGTGGGAGGGGGAGGCTCTTGACATCTGATGTAAGGAAGGGCAGGATGTTCTGGACATCCAGTTCTACATACTACATATACAACCAGCCCCTGTGAGGGAAATCTTAAATGCCTATGCGGCCCACAATGAAATGACGTTTTACACCCGTGCTGTGGGACATAGAACCTGGAGACATGCTGTAGGAGATGGAGCCTGAAGATGGCCAACAAGAGACTGCTAGAGATCACGGCCATTATAAATTCCTTCCATTGACTGCTGGGGTCTGCAGAGGGCTGCACAGAAAGTACCACGGGGGCCGCATGTGGCCTCTGTGCCCTAGATTAGGCCTCCAGGTTTAGAGGCTTCAATGACCCCCGGGCCATCTCTCAGCTCTGACTGACGGCAGCGGAACATTCCAGCATGCCGGGCATTCTGCTGGGTGACCAGAACCGGCAGGAACTTGCAGGACACACACAGATGGCAAGACACATAACTGGAGGCGTGTGCACACAGGACCGCATTCCATCACAGCAGGTGACACGCTGCCTGGCCGGCCTGTACAGGACTACAGGAAGTGCGGGAGGAAGAGGATGCACAGCGGCAACGTATTCCCGACACAATGATCCCCCAACTTCTCAGAAGTTACAGTGGAAGGGGTTTGGGAGAAGGCCGAGAGTCCCATTGTACGCGGTAGAAGGATGGATACTACAGTTTCAGGCCGCATTCAGACTTTTGTATCCCATGGTGGGGCGTTATCACTCGATAGGCTGTGTATTCATGAACGTTGGGTCATTGTGAATGGGCCACCCAACGTGGCAGAACGGTGACCTCCATTGTACAGTCAATGGGCGCCATTAACAATCAATCACAACACAGAGAAGGTGCCCCATCACATCAGGCCTGCCTGCACCAGGGCAACTCAAGATGCTAATCCTGGATTAAATGGGTCCCAGAAGGCACCCCAGAGTGCAGCAGCACAGATCAGGTGTCCCCCACCCCATTAGGGTCACCTTTCACATCAGAGGGCTCCCCCAATCACATCAGGCCTGCCTGCTCCAGGCAAAATCAAGATGCTAATCCAGAGCTAAATGGGTCCCAGAAAGCACCCCAGTGTGCAGCGGCACAGGTGTCCCCCACCCCATCAGAGTCACCTTTCACATCAGAGGGCACCACCAATCACATCAGGCCTGCCTGCTCCAGGCAGAATCAAGATGCTAATCCAGAGCTAAATGGGTCCCAGAAAGCACCCCAGTGTGCAGCGGCACAGGTGTCCCCCACCCCATCAGAGTCACCTTTCACATCAGAGGGCACCACCAATCACATCAGGCCTGCCTGCTCCAGGCAAAATCAAGATGCTAATCCAGAGCTAAATGGGTCCCAGAAAGCACCTCAGTGTGCAGCGGCACAGGTGTCTCCCACCCCATCAGGGTCACCCACCTTTCACATCAGAGGGCCCCCCATTCACATCAGGCCTGCCTGCTCCAGGGAAAATCAAGACGCTAATCCAGAGCTAAATGGGTCCCAGAAAGCACCCCAGAGTGCAGCGGCACAGAGCATGTGTCCCCCACCCCATCAAGGTCACCTTTCACATCAGAGGGCCCCCCATTCACATCAGGCCTGCCTGCTCCAGGGAAAATCAAGACGCTAATCCAGAGCTAAATGGGTCCCAGAAAGCACCCCAGAGTGCAGCGGCACAGAGCATGTGTCCCCCACCCCATCAAGGTCACCTTTCACATCGGAGGGCCCCCCATTCACATCAGGCCCACCTTCACCATGGCAACTGAAGATGCTAATACCAGGGCTAAATGGGTTCCATGCTCGGAGCACCCACGGGGATCAAGAAAGCACCCCAGTGTGCATAGGCACCCTGGTTAAGAAATTCCAAAAGGTACAATCCAGAAAGTGACCGTGGTCACCCTAGGATATGAAGTGTGTTTTTTACTTGGGAGGACCAGTGGGTGAAAAAGAAAAAAATCCAGGAAAACTAATGCAACCACCACATCTTAGAACCAGTAAGCTGTGATATATTTTACATTACTTTCCTTATGCACTTGAACTTACATAGGCAAAAGATCCAGGGCTCAGCGCAGACTTTGACCTTCAGGAAAGGCCCTCTTATTCAATTTGCCCCCTTCCATAAATGCATAAAAAAGGGGCAAAAAAAAAAAAAAAAACCGGTGGGGGGGGGGTGAATAGATAATATACATCTTTCCCTGGCTTCTTTAACGCAGGGGGTGACGCCATCCTCCTCCTGACAAGATCCCCGCGAATGCGGAGTAACCCAAATCTTCTGAAAGACACTTATGGAGGATCATCTTCTCGCAAGGTTTGGGCCACCTGGCATACTCTACATTTTTGGCCAGAGGAGGACGTCACCCTCTCACCCTCACGTAGGTGCTGTGGTAGGAAGCCGGGGAAATAAAAGTATATTGTCTAATTTTTGAGTCCCCAAAAGGTTTTTTTTTTTTTTTTTTTTTACCAGTTTTTAGTTTTAAGGAGGGGGATGGGGGCACTTTGAGTAAGCAGACCTGGTCTCCGAGGTGCAAGGTTCACTTTCCACAGACGGGTGTCCTATGCAGCCTACTACATTACAACACGTGCTATTCCGACCCGCTTTCCCTGCAATACAAATACAGGTCAACAGAGCCGGCTGCATTTAACCCCTTCCAGTCCGGACACTTTCCCCCCCTTCCAGTCCAGGCCAATTTTCAGCTTTCAGCGCTGTCACACTTTGAATGACAATTGCGCGGTCATGCAACACTGTACCCATATGAATTTTTTAGCATTATTTTGATGGTATTTATTCACCTCTGAGATTTTTATTTCTTTTGCTATATAAAATGAAAATGTCCAAAAAGTTTGAAAAAAAGTGTTTTTTGCAAATAAATATTTCATCATAAATCTTGTCCAAAATTTATTCCGTTATCTTTTTAGTAAAAAAAAAAACAAAAAAAACCCAAAATTAGTTTATAACCAAAAATTTAAAAAAAAAAATTTTTACATTAATTTTATTTTTTTTATATTATATTATTAATGTTTTTTTTTTCTACATACTGTCACCCTAGCAGTACAGTCACCATGGTGACACTATACTACTTGTGGGGGGGGACTAAGATTTTTTTTTTTTTACACCGATTGCTTTTACACCCATAAAGGCTGTAAAAGCAATCATTTCTCCTCCTCTCTGGCTGCATTCTTGCAGCCATTGAGAAATACTGTGTGAGCTGTGATTGGTCACAGCTTGTCACATGGTACAAGGCTGTTGTGAATAGCCCTGTACCATGTGACCTCTGTGATCATTCACAGATTTCACACGTAGTAAGGAATGATGTCATAAGTGACATCTTGCTTACTACTCTGCATGT